ATGTCGATCGGTAGGCAAAAACGTTGTTGCCCATAAATCACATTCAATATTGGATAATTTCAAATAAAAGTAGAAGCTTATTTACTCGTATTTTCATAAACTGCAATAATGGTATATCATCATTTATATATTTGGACTTAAATTTAAAATTTGGCTACTTTTTTTTAATGTTACCCCCTCACTAGAATTGTCTACTGTATCGTGGAGGCAGTTTACAGACATAAATTGCACAAGGACAAACATCCAGACCCGGTACAATTATTTATAGCCCACCATACAAATACTTGTTCCGTGCGGGATTCGAACCGGCAGCCCCCAGCGCAGCAACTCATTGCTAAGCCACTGCGCAACGGAGCCGTCAACTCTTTGAAAAATAAATAAACAAAAATAAATAATATATATCATATTTATCATTTCTATTATGTTTTTATTCTATACTAGCTGTTCCCCGCGACTTCGTTCGCGTGTTAGGGTTTTTATGTTTCTGCGCGGAACCCTGATTCTTTTTCTAAAATAAAAGTAGCCTATGTTACTCCTTATGAAATCAGCTATCTGCCAGTGAAAGTCCCGTCAAAATCGGTCCAGCCGTTTCGGAGATTACCCGGAACAAACAGACAGACAGACAGACAGACAGACAGACAGACAAAAATTTTAAAAATTGTATTTTAGTTATAGGTATCGTATTTACTTTCATATGCATTTAGTAAAAAACTGTAATTTTGACATTACAAACAGACACTTCAATTTTATTTATTTGTATAGATTTCTACACCTACGTCAGATTCTCACCACTCCATGAGTTGACTGGCAGAGAATGCCTCAAGACATTAAGCCCGCCCTTTGTATTCTATTATTGTAGTCTAGTATTGTTGTATGTATTAAGGAATGCAATAAAGAATTTAAAAAAAATAAGTTCAAGTCTCACTTAGTTCTCTTTATAATTATTTTTAAAAAGGTACTGTTAACCAAGATCAAGAGATTTATTGATTTTAACAATTTAATTCGCGTCACCCAAATTCATTGTTACATCTCACGTCCGTCCAAATTTGTCGATTTCAAAACCAAACAGTTACTCAACCGAAGGCCGATGAAGTCATACCCGACGCGCCGTCGCTAAAACGTGCTCGGTTATTTAAAAAAATATATAGGCATGTCTATGAACTCTGAGAGACTGACGACTTCAAAGAAATAATTTTATTTTATAGTATAAAAGGTGACAAACGAGCACACAGTCCACCTGAAGGTAAGTGGTTGCTGTGACCCATAGACATCTAGAATTAAAATGTAGATGCGTTGTCACCCGTGAGAACTAAGATGGAATGCCTCGTTTCCAGTAAAAAGGGTACTCCGGTTCTCTACACTCACCATACGAAACACAGCAACATTAAGTTACTATTTTACGCTGGTATTCTGTGAGAGCGTGGTCCTTCCCCGGTCGAGCCGACCCGTTCCTGCTACAACCATAATATAGCTGCAGTGTGGCTCTCCTCTCTCAAGAATGTTAACTGTTGTTTTTCGAGACAATTTCCGATGAGTACGGTATTTCGTACTTGAATTTAAGAATTCTGATCGCCTTTTTGTTGTCACGCTATCGTTTTAATGTGTATTGTATGCAAAGTGTAACCTGAACTTCTCAAGGCAATGACTTTATCGGCCGCTAGGCAATATTTTGAACCGAGTTCAAAAAAGGAGAAGGTACTCAATTCGACTGTATTTGTTTATGTGTGTTACCTCATAATTTTTTTCTAGGAGAACCGATTCTGATGGTTATTTTTGTATTTGAAAGCTGGTGCTTCACATGTGGTCCCATGTAACTTTGATCAAGATTTGAATGCGCATTTAATTGATTTCGACTACATCAATGATGTAGTCAACACACTGGTTCAGAAAAAAAAACCTCTGTCCTGGGAAGAACCAGCAAGAAACACAGCGGGACTTTTTTTTTAATAACAGCTTACAATCATGTATGTTACACAATTAACCACACAAAACAAATTAGAAATAGCTTGGTAGCGATCACCTCACTCCCAGGGGTTATTATCATCCATAAATTCCTTAATATTATAATAACCCTTTTTATACAAACTTAGTTGAATAAAGTTTTTGAACTTTGAGCAGGTCACATTTTGTATAGTCGTAAGATGCGACGGAGGCAAACGAACCAGGAGATGCAGCTTCTTCTTTCTAATAACAACTAAAAATAAAGAAACTGCGGTTGCCAACCCGCCTGCCGAGCGTTACTTTTTTATATAGGATATGGTGACAAACGAGCACACAGTCCACCTGATGGTAAGTGGTTGCTGTGGCCCATAGACATCTACATCTATCCTCAATAAATAATCAAAATGCAGATGCGTTGTCACGCGTGAGGACTAAAATGGAATACTTCTTTTATAGTAAAAAGGGTCTCCGGTTCTCTACACTCACCACACGAAACACAGCAGCGTTAAGCTGCTATTTCACGCTGGTATTCTGTGAGAGCGTGGTCCTTCCCCGGTCGAGCCGACCCATTCGTGCTACAACTATATTACTAATATAGCTGCAGCATGGCTCTACCACGTATAAAACTACTATGATACTCGTAAATTTGCCTTGTGAAGCAATCTATGGGGAGGCCTATGTTCAGCAGGCAGTGCACTTTGATGCAGTGTTGCCAACTCTACGGATTTGTCCGTAGATCTACGGAATTTTTTCATCGTCTACGCAACTACGGAACTTGAGTTGAAATCTACGGAATTCGATTTCCATTTTAATTAATTATTCTTTTTGTACTTCACAGTCTTTTCAGTATAATTCGATTTTTAAAAACTAAACAGAAAAAAAAATCATGTTTTTAAAAGTATTTTCATGGTAATTTTTGTTTAGTCGACTAAATTAGCATTCATTTCTAAAAGAAAAGCTATGGGGTAAGGAATTTCCAAAATTTCAGAACTTTTATATGTGCAGCTTGATTCGATATCATACTACACTTGAATGTACAACAATAATTTTACATGACTTGATGATTTCTCCAAAAAATTGATCTGTTCTATAACAAAAATAAAAATTGTCGATCCTCTTAAGTAGTCTGCAGATCTACGGATATTTTGAAATAGCATCTACGGCAATCTACGGAATTTTTATACCAATCTACGAATTTGAAAAAATTGGTGTTGGTAACACTGCTTTGATGAGGTGTGATGGATGTTTGTTTAATTTTATTTAGTTAATGGTGATAAGTTGAGCACGATTTTGGCTTGGTTTCTGCGTCACTAGAAATGTACCCAGCGCTCCGTTTACCTCTGTTTGTAGGTCTATGACCTTTTCAAAGTGGCTACAGCTATATTATGGTTGTAGCACGAATGGGTCGGCTCGACCGGGAAAGGACCACGCTCTCACAGAATACCAGCGTGAAAAGTAGCACAATGGTATTGTGTTGCGTGTGGTGAGGGTAGAGATCCAGAGATCCTTTTAACTGGGAACATGGTGTTCCATCTTGATCCTCAGGAGTGACAACAAGTATGCATTTTTATTTTAAATGGTAGATAAATGTCTATGGGCCACATCATTCACTTACCATCAGCTGGACTGTATGCTCGTTTGTCACCCTTATTCGAATATAAAAAAAAACTTTTTTTTTATCAGCACATATTATAAATTTGGATTGTCTATCTATAAAATCTAGATATCTAAAGATATATAAAAAATGTCAGCGTCATAGTACGTTAATATCGCGACAATTCAACAGCACGTGAGTTTGTGTAAACTAAATGTGAGCGCTCACAATTAGCAACTACATTATTTATTTAGCATCATACGAGGTATAGAGCCGTGGTAGATCAGTGACTAAGCACTGGCTGTAATTTTCACAGTACCCGAGCAACCCGGGTTCGATCGCCGTCGGCACCAATGAAATTGTTGATTGCAATTTTAAGTCTTGATTCGCCACGTGCTCTCATGTGAAGAAAAACGTAGTGAAGAAACCTGTATGTCTGATAAATTAATAAAAATATATTTCGTAGACATGTGCAGTCCGCCAACACGCATTGGGGACCGCGCCGGATACTTCCTTGTCCCAAAATCCTCTCAGAAATGAGAACCAAGGCCCAGGAGAGGGACATGTAATGGCTGTAACTTTAATTTTATACGGGGAATCGTCGAAGTCCCCACACTGACCTGGTAAGAGATGTAGGTAGTCGATATATGCAGGTGGCTTCGGGTCGTGTTTTGTGGCGTTTGTTGGGAGAGACCTGTTCAGAAGTGAACTTCTGATAGGTTGTAATGGTGATAATGATGACGAGAAACCGTTGAAACATATTTAAGTATTTAGAATCCCACTACAGTTACCTAGGTATAAACTTCGCATGACATTTGTTCTTTTGCTTCATCATAACCGACAACTGCTCAGAAAATTATTCGCGAAAAAAACACATCGATATTTACATCGGCGACTGATTTCCCTAAACTTCGCAATGATGTGACGCATCCGCGCAACCAAAAAGGTTAAAATTACATCCTATATACTTCCGTTAAAATTGCAATTAATAATTTCGAACAGGATTGAACCTGGGTTACTCGCGTAATGTGAAAATTACAGCGAGCGTTAACCATCTTAGCTCGTGGTAGTTCCTCATGTAAAAAAGGAATATTGTCAATTAAATAAACATCAGACTAGACTGTATAGGTACGGATCCCTTTGCCTAGAAATAAAAAAACAACAACAGGAACTTATTATTGTAATTATAACCTAAAACTATAGATTTCAATTTAAATTTTCTTCAAAACTACATATTTCCTTGCTTAGCGAATAGTATCATACAAAAGTGGTACTATTTCCAACTTGAACGCTACTTGGACAAGTTAAAAATATTTTAACGCAAAAAAAAAAATTCGTAAAATATTTTTGTTAATTTATAATTCTTTAACAATGGACTTTCACACTACTTAAGAGTTGAAGGACACAATAATTGAAATTTCACAGTTTAAGAAATAAAATTATAAACAAATTATTTAATACTTACAGAATAAAATGTGAACTTATTAGCAAATATTATCACAGTACAGCCTAACTCAGCTCAATCACAACGTTCTGTATGCATTAATTATTAAATTCCTTTTTTATTCCTAAGTACACTTCTTCAAACGATATCGTCTTGCAATGAAAACACCGAATGAAAATGAATTCAAATGCAAATTCACAAAAGCGGGAACTTTAACATAATCCTAATAATTATAATTGGAGCTTGTTTATGAAAATTAAGTATACTCTCTAGGTACATTTTGATTTAGTCGTATACTATACAGAGACGACAAATCGACCAAAATAACGGGATGACGTCACCTGGTATTGCGTTTGCTTAGCTAATCCAAGGTCGAGAATATTTCTCTCAAAATGACATCATTCAGGTATAGTCAGTATGTACCAACATTTTATAATTTATTTCTTGCCCTTGACTTTATCACCTTAAATATTGTTATATCGTTCATAAATGAAACGTGATGTTTTTAGCAATTAAGGTACATTGGGGTAATACCGGACGGATTTTCGAATAGTTGGAAGAGTCTGCCAAAAACTTTAATTTTTCGACATTCGTATACGTCAGATTTATGGAACATGGAGCAAACCGTTAATCGTTAAACGTAGTTTAGCTCTGAGAATCTTTTGCTTGTGTAAACTCAACGGTTTCTGCTTTAAAGGTGTGCGAAAACTAGACATACTTTTTTATATGCATAATGAAAAATTGGCCATTAAGGGGTAAGACCGGACTTAAATTTAAAACCACTTCTACTGTTTAGAGAAAAAAGTTTTTAAAAGAGATTTGTCCTATCTTTAACGCTCAAAAACATATTTCAATATGATCTATAAATTACTAGAAACATAAATGTTCCAAACGATTTTCTCTTTTTTTGTTTCTTGCCATCCGATCTTATCCCTGATATAAAGAAATTGTAATTTTATGTTTCTCAAACTTTGTTATGACATAAGATGGAATTACTCAATATAGGAGAAAGATCGGATGCATTTGATTTTATATGGGAAAAAAAACAGTAAGAACTGGCGAAATGCCCTGGGATAATGCAGGAGTTAAGGAAGATATAAATATTTTAACAAAGCGGCATTTATTATTATAAATTATTTTTTAAATAATTATTATAAATTACATTTTGATTTGTAATAGAGGATAGATATAGATGTTTATGGGCCGCACCAATCACTTAACATCAGGTGGACTGTGTGCTCCTTTGTCACCCATATCCTATAAAAAAATGTATTTTAATATGTACTTAAAAGTAAAAAAACCATCGTATTGTTTTATTACTTTTAAATATACAGACTTGCTAACGAGACTGAGTCCCATAGTCACTTGAGTAATCAACGAAAAAATATACACGACCAATGAAAGTTTAACAACCACTGCCATATTTGTAACAGGCAAAGATCGGATAATATTCATCCGATCTTCACTCACGAGGGGAAACATCGGATCTCGGCCTACAGCGATCTTACCCCTGCATGGACCAGCTTTATTTAGCTATAACTTCATAAAAATTAGTATCCACACAAAATAATAACAAAAGAAGCCATATTCTCGCTAAAAATCGTAAATAAAAGTGATAGGGAAAGATCGGATGGACAAAAATAATACAAAAATTACATTGTTTTATAAAATGCCACGCAGCACAGATCCCACTTGCCGGAGTGACTGGCGCGAACTGAGGGTCGGGGCAGGATGAAATGGCGTCGTGTAGCATATTGTTAGCTTTTCAAAATATAGCATAATTCGCCGGGAATTTGAATCCTACGGTCTTGCCCCATCACCGATCTTACCCCAACGTACCTTACGTCTTATATTTTTTCAAAGTTATCTAAATTAATAAAATTTAAATTTTTAGAAAATTTATTTATTAAATGGATTTATAGAATCACTTTAATTTATTAATACGTTCTCAAACATTAAAGTTGTTTATATTAGTATATAAAATAGTATTTTTTTATTAATTTAATCATAAAAAAAGTATTTACATAAATCATATGCTAGTAAGTTATGGCATAATGCCAGTATCTAAACCACGAAATGTCTTTGTAATGTCAAATTATCAAAATAAGAGAAAAAAAATGTCAAACTGTGCTTTGTGGTTTGTGCTACACGGTAAACAAGTAAACAAGGCTAAAACCATATGTTTTTTTCTGAATTGCAGATATATCGTATTTTAGAAAAACATGTCTTCGATTGAAAAAAAACCAATGTTTCGGGATCTCACAGCAGAGGATCCAGAACCTGAGGTTACCGAAATAGAGTCGTTATGTATGAACTGCCATGCAAACGTGAGTGGAAAATTTTACTTCTGGAAACCATCAGACACTTTTTATTTTCAATGTTTAAAAGAATCGTTACTAAAACAGAATTTTAATTGATATAGGTATAATCTAATGATATGCAACTAAAATGTATACAAGTGCATTTAGTGTAAATGCGTTTCCTTTGAAGCACCAATTTATACGCATATAACCTATTTAAACAACATATTTTTACATTGCGTTTTAAAGTAAAAATAACATGCAGTATCTCTGATATCGTGCGTGACTTACCGACACAGGATAATAGGGAAAGTGAACACACTAGCTAGCGTGTTTACACTAGTGGCTGGTGTTGAAATCATAAAACCAATTATGAACAAAATATCTATATTCAAAATATTAATAAGTAATCAGTCAGTGATTTGAACACAGGAATGCATTTTTGTCATGTATAACTAGAAGATTTACGCGCTGTAGTGAAGTATTGCCGCGATGCTAGAGCTTGCCTGACTAAATGCTAGTCGGGCAATTACCTGACTTTCGTGTTGCCATTCTAGAGTGAGTATGACATATCTATACTTTTAAAAACATCTTAGGATAGAACCATACTGCATCTATATTATGGTGGCTCAACTTTAGATTGAACTATCCATTGGCACTTTCAAATAACTTCTGTTTGAAAGATACAAAATTTCAGCATTCAGAAACTTATAGTTTTCGAGTAAATTAAGATTTTCTTCATTACTCCTGCTTGTTTGATTTATGCATACAAATTTTACATGTGGCAATTTAATAAGTTGTGTTGTGATGTGATTTTATAAATATTCTTATTTTTGTACTTTGCAATTAAAATTAAAAATAGCTAATATTACTTTAAATAAAAAATTATATGGGCATCTCTCTTTTACTTGGAAAATCGCTGTCCCAGGAAGTTTTCAAAATAGATCTTATTATTGCCGAGTTAAATGTACCACAATATATGAGCTATTTTTGACACGCTATAGCCTAAAACAGTAATATAATATTAGAATATTCAATTAAATACCCTTCAAACACCTCAATTTATAGTCCCCTGTCGTGTCCCTTTTCCAAAATTACAAGTATTAATACAAATATTCATTTTCAGTATCTGGGGACACGGCAGTGCCCCCGCCAAGTCGAGCAAAAAAGCGGCACGGCCGTACCATCCTTTTCTCAAAGCAGTTTAGGCCATTTTCGAAACCCCATAACTTAGTTGTGAATAAAACTAGAAGCCTGAATTTTCAGTAACCAAGTAGAAATTGTATAAAATCAGTATATTTAAAATTTCATCAAATTGAACCAGTAGTTTAAAAATTATAACTAGTCACAGTTTCTTAATTTTGTCACTCACTGACTGACCGATCATCAAAACTCTAAGGCACTTCTAGCAGACATAGAAGCTTCAAATTTGGAAAACATTTATCATTTAGTATATAAATCAAGAAATAATTAAAATATTTTGCAATTTCAGTCCAGTTTTCAAGATACACCAACTGCATAAATAACTTTGTAATCCCATATAAATACAATACAATACAATACTCTTTATTGTACACCAAGAAAAGATAACAACATCAAAAATAAAAAATAACAACTATTGAGGGAAATACAAAGGACGGTCTTATTGCTACATAGCAATCTCTTCCAGACAACCCAGAAGAAGAAATAAATACAAAATAAGAAAAAGAACAATGGGTAGGGTGCACTAAAATAAAAAATAAAAATAATAAAGACAAATAAAAATAAAATAAAGATACAAACTTATGCATTAAAAAGATAACATTCTTCAGGCAGATCAATGACCATAATTAAGCGGAGGAAGTGAGAGGAATAAGAGAGACAAATAGTATTCTTTAATCTGTTTCTGGAATACATTTAAGGATTGAGTACTTCTAATTGACTGGGGTAAGGAGTTCCAAAGTCTTACTCCAAGAACAGAGAATGATTTGTCATAATAAGTCGAGGAGTGCACAGGACATTGGAGGGAAAGATTTTCTTTGGATCGTAAGGAAAAATTATGACAGGAGCTGAGAAATCTAAAACGTTCTTTAAGATAGGAAGGACTAGCTATATTAAATAAGACGCAGTAGAGAGCAGAAAGTATATGAGTATTCCGACGAAGACGGATTGGGAGCCACTTGAGCTTAGTGCGGTATTCTGAGACATGGTCATATTTGCGAAGTCCAAATATGAACCGAATACAGAGATTTTGGAGGCGCTCAAGCTTGTTAAGTTGCTCCTCGGTGACATCAAGGTAACAAATGTCAGCATAGTCGAGGATAGGGAGTAGTAACGATTGTGCAAGCGTAATTTTGGTGGCAATGGGTAAAAGTAATTAAGCCTCCGGAGTGAAGCATAAGCTGCAAACATTTTACAGCTCACTGCATTAATTTGGGGTGCCCAAGAAAGACTTGAATCCAAGAGGATACCTAAATTTTTAACAACGTCATTATAAGGGATGGGAACTCCATTATATACAACGGGTTGTAGTTGACATTTTTTTATTTTGCAAATCATATAAATAAATAGGATTACAAAGTTACATTTGCAGTGAATGAATCAGTGTAACTATATATGTATAATATAATGGAATAATAGGTGTAGATGTGAGATGCCATCAAAAACATAACTTGTAAAAAAAACCAAGTTCTCGCAACTCAGTTCTTCTACCGTAAAACGTTGTGAGATCCATGTAATACAAAGTCGGTTAATTTATTCAGGCCCTACTTAAGGGTCCTTCTGTCTAAGTTATTACGTAATTAGCTAACCTATCAACATCTTATAGTGACCATATCAATATTAAAAAACTTTTATGTTTTAAATAAATAAATTGACTTGGCAATCGCACTAAAAAATCTAATTTAATATAATATGTATTACTTGAGAGATATATTGTGTTTTCATGTTTACAGATATGTTTACAGATTTATTATCATTAAAATCACCAATACAACCCCCTAAGGCTATTCGGCCAGGAAGTCCACACAATATTCGGTATTCGGCGTGTGGGTGACTATACTATTCGTAGCGAGTGTAATAATAATGTTTTGATTCCAGGGCGTAACCCGGCTCCTCTTAACTCGCATCCCACACTATAAAAATGTGGTGCTTATGTCGTTCAGTTGTGAGCGTTGCGGCTATGAGAATAATGAGATTCAACCTGGAGGAGCGTTTGCCGAGCTAGGGGTGAGGTGAGCCAAATCTATCTAACCGCAAACATTTCATAACCGAGATTAGCATCTGAACAGCTTTACCCTTAGCAATGCAATGGTATTAACATTCCTCATTACAAGCTATTTCTAATTTGTTTTGTACTGTTAATTGTGTAACATATATGATTGTAAGCTGTTCTTTATTTTTTCAAAAAAAATAAAGTCTCGCTGGTTTTTTGACAGAGGTATTTTCCGAACCTGTGGTAACTAAAAAATGACTTTTAAGAAGTATTATGTAATAATCTTATATTGAATAAAAAATCACTCTATTCTATTCTAACATTGAGTTGCAGCACTAAGGGTTGCGGGTTCGAATCCCGTCTGGAACAAGTATTTGTATGGCCTACAAATAATATAAATATTTATACTTAAAATATTTGACTGTACGTAGGTGTATTTTTCACTGCTCTATCTATGTTAATTGTATTTATTTTTAAATGACCATCTTCAATTGTCTACAGATGGAAGCTACAGGTAGAAAACCCGATAGATTTAAACCGTCAAGTGGTTAAGAGTGACTATACCAGTGTTAAAATACCGGAACTTGACTTTGAAATACCTGTACAGAGTCAGAAAGGAGGTTTGTTTCTTCTGCTTCTTTGTATATGATATATCGTTCTGTTCGTGTAATCTTTTCAGAGAATAATTTAAAAAAAAAGTATGTGTGTCACATCACCCCTGGTGTTGCGGTTGTTCATGGGTGGCGGTAGTCACTTACCATCAGGTGAGCCGCATGCTCGTTTGCCCCCTCTTCTATAAAAAAAAAAGCACATGTGCGGCACAAAATATATGACAAAAGTTTATTTTTATAACAAACTAGCTGAACCCGTCACACGTTGTCCTGCCAGTTAAATCATAGGTTGTGTTCAGAAATATTTTTCATTTTCGCGTGTGAAATTTCGTTTATTAAATGCCGCGCTAAAAAAATTAAATTTTGTTTCTTTGTAATTTTTTTTCAACTTTTTTTCGATTATTTTTTAGTGTTTTGTAATTTTCATTGTGATCAATCAAATAGATTTTGAGTTAAACGATTTCATATAGACATAGACATGCATTTATTCAGCGACTTACACTCGTACAGTTTTGATACAGAAAATAAAATGATACATAAAAACAAAAATTAAAAACTAATAACAAAAACAGTCATAAAATGATCCGATTGCATGAGTGATGTGATGCTGAAAAGGGCACTGACTCAACGTAATGCTATCGCAGGATTGCGGTAGCGTTGGTTTTCAGCAATGCCCATTGAGGTTGGACTCGCCCGCGAGGATAGTATGTTCGCTTTATTCTTATTTTCGAGAAAGATGTTATCAAAATAATAAAATTAAATAATGGAAATGAAAAAGTATGGGAACTTTATTTATGCAGTTGGTATATAAAAATGTATATAATAAATAATATAATGAGTATTTACAATAAAACAATATAGATATATACAATCATCTTTTATATGACGGCTCCGTGGCGTAGTGGCTTAGCAATGAGTTGCAACGCTTGGGGCCGCGGGTTCGAATCCCGCACGGAAGAAGTATTTGTATGGCCTACAAATAATTGTTCCGGGTCTGGATGTTTGTCCTTGTGCAATATATGTTTGTAAACTGCCTCCACGATACAGGAGAAAATCCCAGTGTGGGGGTAACGTCTTTTTTTAAATTAAATATGTATAGAATAGATAAATGCTACAACAATTATTTTTACGGTGAACCTTATTCTACAGTGAACCGAACAGATGCCATCATGTCTTCTGGCTTCAATTGTATTTCTTAAAACTTTTTTGTTTGAATTGTATTGAAGTGGTTATAATATGTGGTAATTTGCAGAGGTCACCACAGTGGAAGGTATCCTCGCTCGAGCTATATCGGGGCTTATGCAGGACCAGGAAGCTAGGAAAATGGAGCATCCCGAGGCCGCTGCGAAGATTGAAGCTTTTGTGGGACGTTTGCAAGCGCTTAAAACTCTAGACACCCCGTGGACATTAGAACTTGAAGATATTAGTGGTGAGATATGTTTGATCTATTTCTATTTATTCCTCATAGGTCCTTCGCACCGGATTTGAACCAGTGACCTATGAAGTATCCAGAGGCCGGCTGTTTTCAATGAAAGTCACGTATTTACGTGGTAGAGCCATGCTGCAGCTATATTAGTAGTATAGTTGTAGCACGAATGGGTCGGCTCGACCGGGGAAGGACCACGCTCTCACAGAATACCAGCGTAAAATAGCAGCTTAACGCAGCTGTGTTTAGTATGGTGAGTGTAGAGAACCGGAGACTCTTTTTACTGGAAAAGAGGCATTACATCTTAGTCCTCACGGGTGACAACGCATCTGCATTTTGATTCGCAAACGAGGATAAATGTAGATGTCTATGGGCCACAGCAACCACTTACCATAAGGTGGACACTGTGTGCTTGTTGGTATGTATGTTTAGATGATGATGATTGAAATGAAATTCCAGGTAACTGCTACATAGAGAATCCAGAAGCACCGAGCAAGGATCCGCGCTGCGAACGGACCGACTTCAAAAGGACCAAAGAGCAGGATCATGTTCTCGGCATATTTACTTCGAATGAGGTAGGTATCTTTTTAAGTGAAACCTTCTTTAAAATCGTTGTGATTCGAAACTTGATGAAACGAAACAGTGACACTAAATAGATACAAATATATACATCTTTAGGATTTATCTTGCGACAGATTTATGTATTTATTTTCTTCGATGAAATGACTTTACCTAAAAATTAAGTAGATGGCGCTATTACAAAGCAATTTTACTCGAAAAAAAATATTCTTTTGATTTATTACACTAAAATTTAGGGTCTACATGTCTAAAGTCTAAAAATAAGGATTGTTATTACTATTGACATTTATTTGCTATAAAATTAAACTTTTATCTTATATTTTATGCCGCACTTGTGGTTGAAAATTATCATATTAAATAAATTATTTGAAATATTTTTATTTTCTTGTGTGTGAACTGCACACATGTTTTTTTTTAATGTACCGACACTAGGATATTCTCCTTTATTATGTTGGCGTACATGCACAAAAGACTGGACCTGGGGGAAATATATACAGGCCATACTAAACACTCTTGAAAAAAGGCAAAGTCAAGAGTACCCTAAACCGTAGAGCATGTATGAAAGCAATAATGAGAATAAGAATAAGAATGTGGACGAAGCGAAACAAGTATGTAAGGATCGTAGCAAGTGGAATGAAGTGGTCTCTGCCTACCCCTACGGAAAAGAGGCGTAATTATATGTATACTAAACACTAATTCCGTGTAGGATTTGAACCTGCGGCCCTTTTTTCTACCGAATTCAAAAAGGAGACGGTACTCAATTCAACTGTATGTTTTTTTATTTAATTTTGATTTATTTATGTTACCTCATAACTTTTTACTGGGTGAACCGATTTCGATGATTCTTTTTTTATTTGAAAGCTGGTGCTTCACATGTGGTCCCTTATAAATTTGTTAATAATTTATATTGAATCGGTTGTACAAAATTTTTAATTATATTACTGACAAACACACAGTCCACCTGATGGTAAGTGAAAACATTGGCCCATGGACATCTACTACCATCCTCGATCAATCAAGAATCAAAATGCAGTTGTGTTGTCACCCCTGAGGACTAAGATGGAATGCCTTGGAACCAGTAGACTATCTTAGAGTTCTCTACACTAACCATACGAAAGTGAAGACACAGCAGCATTGAGCTGCTATTTTACGTTAGACTTCTTGGTATTTGCAGGTTAAAATTACCGAAAATCATAAGAAATATCGTGTTTTAAGACAAAATAAATACTTAATTAGATAAACAGTTGATGTATTACTCTTGCCGCGTAATTTTTACCTCTGCACTACACAGGACAGCATTGTATATTTGGATTGGATGATAAATTTAGTTAGTGGATTCTTTCAAGATCGCACTCAAGTGCGGACCTGAAATGTGTTTTGTGTTTTTTTTATAGGATAGGGTGACAAACGAGCGCACAGTCTACCTGATGGTAAGTGGTTGTTGTGGCCCATAGACATCTACATCTATCCTCGCGTGCGAATCAAAATGCAGATGCGTTGTCACCTGTGAGGACTAAGATGGAATGCCTCCTTTCCAGTAAAGAGGGTCTCTGGTTCTCTACACTCACCATACGGAACACAGCAGTGTCTAGCTGCTATTTTACGCTGGTATTCTGTGAGAGCGTGGTTCTTCCCCGGTCGAGTCGACCCATTCGTGCTACGACCATACTACTTATACAGCTACAGCATGGCTCTACCACGTTTCACCAATCTCAAAATCTGGACCCGATAGGCGGTCTACCGGGGCAACTATTTTTTTTTTTACAAAAAGATTGTCTCCCATCAGGTCAATGAAGCGACCAACGGTGATGCGGCTCAAACCGTCCCGGAGATCGGATCGTACGACAGGATGGTCACCGACGAGGTGCTGCAGTTCAGAACCAACTGTCCCGACTGCAACGCTCCCGCTGATACCAACATGAAGTTGACAAGTAAGTTCTTCTCTATTAGGTACTAAGTTAAAAAACTAACCTTTTTTTTTTCAAAAAAGTTCCGCTGTGTATCTAGCTGGTTCCTACCAGGTCAGAAGTATTTTCCGTATCTATGTGCTACGTACTTATGGTAAATTAATCTTAAAAATTCATCATCATCATCATTACCTTCACTAGTGCACAGCTGAACATAGGCCTTCCCCAAGGAATGCCACAAAGCTCGGTTCTATACCATCTGCATCCATAGACTTTCTTCATGTTTTACCAGGTCGTCACTCTATCTCGTGCGGGGCCACCCTACACTTCGCCTGCCGGTACGAGGCTGCCACTCGAGAACCTTTTTTCCCCATCGGTTGTCGGTTCTTCGAGCTATATGGCCGGCCCATTGCCACTTAAGCTTACTAATCCGTTGGGTTATGTCGGTTACTCTGGTTCTGCTGCAGAATAGTCGTTTTTAAGTGTATCACGCAGAGACACCCAGAGCATAGTCCTCTCCTTAACTCGCTGAGCGACTTTGAGCGTCATCATCTTAAAAATTATTTGTAATATACTTTATTTATAAGTTTAATTCTGCATAACAATGAATTTACATAAATTATATCTTAACATATATGATGATGTCTAGATTACATCAAAGGTTATATTAGAACATCTGACTTCTAACCTAGGCAGGACCTGTAAAGTAAAAGTCAGCGTTCTTCACAAAAGTAATGTCATCTGGACATGTACAGGTTAGCGAAAAGTATAAATGAAAAAATAATTGTGTAATAGTGTGTGTTCTCGCATGTGTGCGTGCGTGAGTGTAAATGTGTGTGGATGTGTGTGCGATCGCATGCGTGCTTGCTTGCGTGTGTGCGTGCGTGTTCGTGTGTGTGTGCATTTGTGTGTGGATATTACAATTGTTTTATTAGCAGCTCCCTAAACCGCGATACAAATAAACAAGAAGCGATTAACATAGGGCACTGTATACCATATTTATTGTGTTTTTATCAGCTACCTTCCTTTGTAGTTAAATTTTCCTTAGTTTTAAAGATGTATATGAGTTTTCCAGTTTTAGTGTACTGTCAATGTGGATACCTAAATAGTTTGTGTTAACTATTCCTTCCATTGATTTACAAGAGCATGCATGTAATCGATTTGTGGAACTGCATGTTACACACATTTATTTATTAATAATATATTTTTAATTTCATAGGCGTTTGACACAAGTTTTATATTTCTTTTTTGAAAACTATAAATTTAGTTTCGAGAATATTTAGTGTGAGGCTGATTTGATGACAGATACTGTGTTTACCGTGTAGTGGTGGTTTAATAATATCCACTATCCCACTTCGTCCCGTGGGTGTAATAAGAGGCGACAGAGAGAAACAAATCAGGAGATGGGCAGCAGCGTCTTCCCAATAACGAATAAAAATTTGCGGTTGCTGACCCGCTTGCCAAGCGTGGCAATTTATGGGGGTGACATATGTAGAGACATGTTACACAGGTCGTTGATGTAAATTAGAAACAGAGTAGGGCCTAATATGCCACCCTGGGGTACACCGTAGCGCAAATTATCGTATCCACTGTAAATATTATCTATTTTACACATTAGCTGCGGGTTAATGAGGTGATCACTAAAATACCCAGAGCAAGGCCTCTTACCGTTAATCTTTTCATTTTGTCGAGTGCTCGCGCAACTTCCTTGTGGAATCGACTACCACCAGCAATTTTTCTACACCGGACTGATACGACAGAGAAGGTCCCTAGAGAAGTCTACTCTTTTTTAAAAGGCCGGCAACACACCTTCAATTCCCCTGGTGTTGCAGTTGTTCATGTGTGACGGTCAACACTTACCATCAGATGTGCCTGAGTGAGTGAGTGATACACGTTTGCCCTCTCTTTTTTTTTAAAAAAAGAATAAGGCTGAAACCGAAACTTTGTCAAAAGCCTTTGAAAGATCTAAATTAAGATTTATAATTTTTTTATATAGAATAAGGGTTACAAGCGAGCACACAGTGAACCTGATCGTAAGTGGCTGCTGTGCCCGTAGACATTTTCGTTTATCCTCGATTACGAATCAAAATGTAGATGCGTTGTCACCCTTGAGGACTAAGATAGAATGCCTCGTTTCCAGTAAAAAAGTTTAAAAGTCTCTGGTTCTCTACACTCACCATACAAAACACAGCAGCTTGTAGTATTCTGTGAAAGCGTGATCCTTTCCCGGTCGAGCCGACACACTTATGCTACAACTAATTAGCTGCAGCGTGGCTCTACCACGTATACCACTAATGTGTATATTGAATAAAAAAGAGCCGACCTATATGTGCTCCACCATGTAAAGTAATAATGCATCATTACAGAGATCCCGCATTTCAAAGAAGTGGTGATCATGTGCACAATTTGCGAGGCGTGCGGCCACCGGACGAACGAGGTGGGTAAAGAAAATATTATCTATTCATATTTAGCACAAGTTAAATGACACCAGTGATTTACATAATGATTTCTCATATTTATGCGAACACTACGCATTGAATAAAACTACTTTTACGGATTCTATCGCGTTTAATTACACTTATTATTATTAAATTCCCGACATTTCGGTTGCTTCAGCTAAGTGTTACATAGCTGACGTGAAACACCACCGTTCCGGGAAGTCTGCAGCTTGTGATTATATCCTAGACGGCCCCGCCATTACATTAGATTTGATAAACCATAAATTCTCACGAAAGAACATCGATACCTGCCAAGGATCCTAATTTCAATAGAGAGGGAGGCTGGGTTTTTTTTAAAATAGAATAAGGGTGACAAATGAGCACACAGTCCACCTGATGGTAAGCGGTTACTGTGGCCCATAGACATCTACATCTATCTTCGTTTGCAACTTAAAATGCAGATGCGTTGTCACCCGTGAGGACTAAGACGGAATGCCTCTTTTCCAGTAAAATGGGTCTCTGGTTCTCTACACTCACCATAAGTAACACAGCAGTGTTAAGCTGCTATATTATGCTGGTATTCTGTGAGAGCGTGGTCCTTCCCCGGTCGAGCCGATCCATTCGTGCTACAACTATACTACTAATATAGCTGCAGAAGCATGGCTCTACCACATATAAAACTACCTTCTTGGGATCCTATATTTAATAAAATTGAAACTAAACCCAAGCATACCACTGCAAGACTTCAAGACACATTAAGTTCATTCTACGTAGATCGGACCATAACTAATAATTAAAAAAGCTGAACGTACTCTGGGTCATTCCCCCGCAACCACTGGTACTGTAAAGTACCGGAATTGTCGGGAATTAATAAAAAATAAGTTATTTAAACACGGTAGAATCCGTAAAAGTAGTTTTATTCGATACCAGTGATGTCAAAAAGCCTCCGTCATATTAGAAGATATTTGTTTTTGTAGAAGTGCCAAACGAAGTGCAGTCCACGGACACCTGAAGGCTGGAACATGGCAGAGCATGCACTGTGAAATAATGTCTTACTCGTTATAGTATAAAATCGATAAGTTCCATAGAGAAATCCGAGAAATTTCCTATTCAATTAAGGGAACTGTCTCCCACAGGTGAAGTCCGGTAGTGGGATAGAAGACAAGGGAGTGAAGTACGAAGTAAGGATAGCTAGCAAGGACGACTTCTCCAGGGACATCCTGAAGGTAAGGATTTGACTTTGATTTAATATTAGGTATTTTACGTCTGGTCCATATCATCCCGTGGGAGTCATAAGTGACGACAGAGGGAAACAAATCAGGAGATGGGCGGCAGCGTCACACCAATAACGACTAAAAATAAAAAACTGCGGTTGCCAACTGCTAAAATTATTTGTATTCTTCGAGTAAGTAGACTAACTATATGGGTACAGGTATGTGAGTTTTATTATGTATTGTTTTTTTGTAATTATCACATATTAATGTACATAATAAAAAAGTAATTTATTTTAATATCCATTTCAGATAGATAATATGGGAAAATGCAAAGAAATTTATTAGAATAAAAAATCAAATTAATAATGTAAGCATATGAACCACTCGGAAACTCGCTAAGCAAGCAGTCTTGTTTTAAAACTCGACTCAACCGGTGCAGATCTGATCGATATGATCTGGACCTTGAGTGAATTGTTGATCAGTGAGGTTACCTTGTGTGGGGTCCACCCATTGTGATATCAATTTAGCCCTAAAATAGTCCTGTCCTGATTGACTCGTCGGGTTCTTTGTTGAGGTTACCATCCATATACGATGATGTTTAGGCTATTTTAGTAATATCTTATGCAGAGGTTATTATTATTATTATTGCAGTAGTTAAATTTAGATTGACAACTAATATTTGTAATATAGAAGTTATCTAGTCGGTTAGCCTGTCTTCTGATTTTATGGCTTTTCATTAGTGCCGACAAAATACAATATGTAACAATAACTCTGTGGTTTCCGTTAAGTGTGTTATCAGAATCAGTATTTAAACTTAATATAACTTTACTTCAGAAAATCAACATAAAATAATCAAATTAAATTTAAATAAAATAATACTTGTAAATTGTATGTGGATTGGTTACTCCTGCAATAACCTTCTAAAATACAAAAACTTTAATTAACATTTTTTTTTTCATTTGGCATTGGCATTTTTTATCGCTCGTTGATAATTGAATTGTGACAAAATTTTATGTTTATTAAACTTTCCATGTATTTAAATAACTACTGGAAGTGGAAACTATGAAAAATACCCCCTTATGAGGTTATCCGTTGGATAGATAGGCTTATGTTCAGTAGTTGACTTTGATAGATCCTAATGAATGAATGAACAATGTATATTTGATCTCAACATAACTTTAGAAACTGTTACAACTCGTCGAAACATCGTCATCTATGTATCCGAACTAAGAATTTTTCTCGTTAAGTGATTTCGTAAAATGATGTTTGTAAGATAATTTATAATATAAAATAATAAAATAAATATGAACGTATTAAATACTAGCTGTTCCCCGCGACTTCGTTCGCGTGTTAGGGTTTTTATGTTTTTGCGCGGAACCCTAATTCTTTTTCTAAAATAAAAGTAGCCTAAGTTATTCCTTATGAAATCAGCTATCTGCCAGTGAAAGTCCCGTCAAAATCGGTCCAGCCGTTTCGGAGATTACCCGGAACAAACAGACAGACAGACAGACAGACAAAAAAATTAAAAATTGTATTTTAGTTATAGGTACCGTATTTACTTTCATATGCATTTAGTAAAAAACTTTAATTTAGACATTACAAACAGACACTTCAATTTTTTTATTTGTATAGATTATTAAGTATTCAAGAAGAGATATGAAATGTTCATAAACTATCAACACATTATTAAAAATATTTTCATTATTATTTCTAATATTTTTAAATTTATAGTTTCTGAGAATTAATTGTACTTAGAAAAAATACTGTAAATAACTATTATACTTCGCTTTTAGCACTAATGTTATAATAATATATAAATTTAGACGAAAAACATTTTTATTATACCTACTTTATTGTATAAATATTATAATATAATAAACAAATATTTCTCTGTATCAACTTGACGTTATATAACATTCATGGAACAGAGGAAGCAGTTAGAAATACAATCATCATCATCACAATCTTACCATCATCAGGTTGGCTCGGGTCATTGGACAGACTACACGTAGGAGTTTCCAGCTGGGTCGTCCAAGATCAATGTCAAGATTACCTTTTACAAGTCCACTGCTGAACATAGGCCACGCCCCTAATCAATAGCTCCACCTTCTGTGCTATTTTTGGAGCAACATATTTATTTATTTAGTATATATTACATAATGCTCGTAGCTCGAGCGTGTATGCGTAGATATATGGATGTAAAAAAGGCGAGAGAGGTGTGCCAGGATCGGGCCTAATGGACGTCCGTAGTCTCTGCCTACCCCTCTGGGTGACAGACGTGAGTGTTTATGTATGTATGTAAAGTACATAAATAAATGTGTTTCAATTTGAAGGGGAACATCACCAGAAATGGATATCAACCATCATTATCATCATCATCATCATTATAGCTCTTCAAAATCCCACTGCTGAACATAGGTCTCCCCCATTAAACGCTACAAAGCGCAATCTTGAGCCACCTGCATCCATCGACTTCCTGCATGTCTTACCAGGTTGTCACTCCATCTAGTGGAAGCTGTTCTACACTTCGTCTAAGAGGCTGCCACTCGAGAACATTTCATCCCTATTGGTTGTTATATCAGCTAAAGGTGCATACATATGCAACCGTTCATTAATCGAGTGATATTTACTTTCGGCTTCAGTCGGAAACGTGCAGCATGCAAATCCCGGAGCTGGACATGGATGTGGGGGGTCGCGCTCTAGGGGGCCGGTTCACAACCACCGAGGGCTTGCTGCAGGCCGCGGCACATCAGCTGAAGAATGGTGTGATAGGGGATGCGCCGGCTTTGGCGCAGGAGAAATTGGAGGGGTGAGATTTTTTTAATCTTATGTGGTAGAGCCGTGCTTCAGCTATATTATGGTTGTAGCACGAATGGGTCGGCCCGACAGGGGTACGACCACGCTCTCACAGAATACCAGCGTAAAATAGAAGTTTAACGCTGCTGTGTTTCGTATGGTGAGTGTAGAGAACCGGAGACCCTTTTTACTGGAAACGAGGCATTCCATCTTAGTCCTCACGGCTGACAACGCATCTGCATGTTGATTCTTAATCGAGGATAGATGTAGATGTCTATGGGTCACAGCATCCACTTACCGTCAGGTGGACTGTGTGCTCGTTTGTCACCCTAATTCTATTTTTTTTATACTTCGAAAACATGACCTTTCCGTTTCCTCGTCTGTCACTAGAGTTACCCTAATCCACTTAGTACAGATATAATACAACAACCTCCACACTAGGATTTTCTCCTATATCGTGGAAGCAGTTAACAGACATAAATTTCACTAGGACAGACATCCAGACCCGGAACAATTATTTGTAGGCCATACAAAACTAGGCATTCCATCTCAGTCCTCAGGGTTGAGAACGCATCTGCAATTTGATTCTTAATTAAAGATAGATGTAAATGTCTATGGGCCGCAACATTCTCTTACCATCCGGTAAACAATGTTTTCACCCATTGAGTTATTTGTACTACGTACTAGAGAAGCCTTTCTAAACAAAAATGTGCACTACTCTATGTCTTCGCGCATGCGCGGGACTTAGTAAAGTTGCGCATTCGCAGTTGATTTAAGCGCGTTGCGCCTGCGTGTGGTGTTTATTTAAAGAAATATATTTTTTCATGATTATTTCTTTTGTAATATTACGATACTATTACCTATTTATTCACTTGAACAACAAATAATTTTACTTACTTGACTACTGAATTGTTATTTACATACGTTTAAACTTTAATTTGAAATCTTGTATTATTAGTGCCGCTCCACACTGCATGAATATTCAAACCACAGACTAACCAGTACATTGAAACCACACTAAATGACGCACTGTACGGATTGCAGTACAGTTCAGTTGAACATAGTGTATGTTAGGGATGCGCAAACGCAATCTAGTACCTAGTACATATATATCGATGGTTTCACCCTTATTCTATAAAATTGTCACTCTTATTTTATATATTTTTTTAAAATAATTTACTTATATTCTTTAGATTTATTTCTTTATTCAAAACAAAATTTAAAAAGCATCATTTTTTTCTTTTTCTTCTAAGGCTAAAGTGTCTTCAATTTCCAGATTCCTGCAGAAGCTGGACGAGGTGCTGGAAGGCAAGAGGGCGGTGACATTGATCTTGGATGATCCAGCTGGAAACTCCTATGTGCAGAGTCTGTCGGATGACCCGAGCCAACCTGATGATGGTAAGATTGTACTTTGGTGGTGCTGGAGTCTACGTTAATGGAAACTGAAGTCATCTCCGCAGGACAGGATTATAGTGTTATTTCGTTACTGCGCAGTATATATATAACATTTGCAAAAAAATCGAAGCAAATTTTTTTTGGCAACTTGATTTCTTTTTTTTTTAGTTTTTATATAATTGAGATGGTTTGGCCATGTCGAGAGAATGAATGAAGAACGATTGACGAAAAAAGTGTATAAGGCGAGTTGAACGAAAGTGTTGGAAGGGGTAGACCTAGGCGTACATTTCAAGACCAAATCAGGGACGTGTTGAAAAAAGGCCAGGTCAAGAGTAACCTAAACCGTAGAGCATGTATGAAGGGAATAATGAAAGTGGACGAAGCGAAAGGTTATAAAGTATTACCAGACCTCTCCAAAAATGTTTTTTTTAAATTCCCAATATACTTTTGGCAATCAAATCAAAAATTTGTATGTAGTAGAGCCATGCTTCTGCAGCTATATTAGTAGTATAGTTGTAGCACGAATGGGTCGGCTCGACCGGGGAAGGACCACGCTCTCACAGAATACCAGCGTCAAATAGTAGCTTAACGCTGCTGTGTTTCGTATGGTGAATGTAGAGAACCGGAGACCCTTTTTACTGGAAAAGAGGCATTCTATCTTAGTCCTCACGGGTGACAACGCATCTGCATTTTGATTCGCAAACGAGGATAGATGTAGATGTTTATAGGCCACAGTAAACACTTACCATCAGATGGACTGTGTGCTCGTTTGTCACCCTATCCTATATAAAAAAAATCTCAAATTTTAATGACGTGTTTATTAAGTAATTTTTAATAATACCTGCAAATCACCAGACGAATTTAGCGGTTTGAAATAATTCTCACACGTGAATAAAGTTTACAAATGAATACGACAAAGTCCAATGCGTAGCCATAAGTGTGAGAAAGATAGCTTATCGAAGCATGCCGACAGCGGATGGGGGCCTAAGCTCCTCGCACTGTGATTGCTTATCAAGAAATAACTTTTTTATAGATTTTAAGATTATATTCTTGTTTGGGATTTAGCATGTATGTATGCGCATTCTTAATAAACTGATGCTCGTGTCCGATGTAATAAATTAAACGAATTTAATTTTTTGTTTGAGTTTTCTGTTTGTTTTAAAACATGGAAATAACCCCCCCCCCTCCCCCGAACTCGATAAAAGGCAGTTATTTCCATATTACATACAGACACTTCAATTCGATTTATATGTATTATGTATAGATATTTATATGGGAATGGGTCTTCAAAAAAAACCTTAACTTAACTCAACAATTGGCTCAGTAACAAGTAAAAAATAATGATATAAGTCGTCAATTTTTAATCGCGTTGTAACGATATTCGATATTTATTTTTAAAGAATCGAATTCGTATCAAATTCGAAAATTTTAAAATGTTGTGTGTATTGTCGTTTTTTCATGGTTGTTCAACCGTCAGTAATAAAATTTTAAGCCTTATCGTAGTAAATCATACAAAACAGAACGATATATCAATATATCGATATTTATCACCCGATATGTATCGATACTGTATAAAAAATCGATACGATATATATCGGTATTATTTTTTATCCTGCCCATTCCTAATACATCGGGCATGGTACAGTTGAAGTACAGTTTTATACCAAAGGGTAAATTATACACTATGTCTTATTTGTTTATAACCGTCTATGCCTCATTCTCTCTTATCTTTGCTCGCTCATACTGTACAGCTATCATCAGAAACAGAAACTTTTTTATTCAATATAGATTATAAATAATACTTATTGAAAGTCACTTTTTTAATTTAGCACTGGTTTGGAAAAAAACCCTTTGGCCTAGGAAGAACCAGCAAGAAACCCAGCGGGACTTTAAAAAAATAACAGCTTACAATCATGTATGTTACACAAATGGCAGCGATCACCTCATTCCCAGGGTATATTAGTATACAAACTTTGTTTAATGAAATTTTTGAACTTTCTGCAGGTCAAATTATGTATGATGTGTAACATCAATGTAACATTCCTTTTCTTTCATCGTCTCGTATTCCGTTCCTACTAGAGGTTGCAATCGAATATTCGAATATTCGAATTATTCGAATTTTATTTTCAAATTTATATTCGAATAGTAAAAAAATATATATTCGAATAACTACCAAAAAAATATACTATTCAAGTCTATGTTGGCAGAACTTAAAAATTGTTGTTGGCAACACTGCTTAACGGCTTGAGTGACTTGACGCCATTTTGTTGAGTTCATTCACTTACAGAACGCGTTGTTATATACTTGCAAAGCTGTGCATTTTGTCTTTTGTGAAGTGATTTGATTCTTGTGTTTATATAAAAGTATTTGTGGATTGTTTTATGTAAGTATTGTGTATTTTGTTATTTTTTTGCAAACACGGTGGTTGAATTTATGACTTAACCTAAAAACTCACTTTGCACTGATCACCAAATACCTACGTTATATGTATTTACAAGTATCAAATTCAATTACATTGCAGATCAGTTGACGATGGATAAATTGGTTTTTAAAGAGTACACAAAACGTAAGTTTGACAAATCTTCAGTATGGAACTCTTTCTTACGGACTGAGGATGGAAGTCACGCAAAATGCAAATTATGCAAAAGAATTCTTCAATGCTCAAATACCACCACATGCTTACACAATCACTTGAAGAAACAACATCCAAGTGTACCTGGTTAGTCACTCATTTAACTTACTTTTACGGCTTTTACCTTTATTAACTACTTCACTTTCACTTACATTTATTACTTTTGACCAAAAGGTATTAACGCTTTTACTCATAAGATTTTTTTTATTGTTCGGTCTACTAGATACAAGAAGAAATATTCGACAGATTCCAGCGACTGCTACGCCTACCACTCCCACAAATGAGGTAGTACAAGAACAAGATCAGCGGCCCATGCCCAAGACAAAAAAAGTCAGAATTGACGATTACTATCAGAACACCAAAGAAGATTTATTAGTGTAATATTGCATATGAAAATGATACTGCAATGCCTTTACGACACCTTTACATTTGTGATACTTTTTATTTTTATTATTAACGAGTTTAAGACTTTTTGAATAGCTTGAGAATTTTATAATTGTTTTGATTAACATGTTCATGTATAATCGTGAGATTTATAAGAACATAAGGTTCCTACTATGTTTAAGAATTTGATAATACTTTTTATTTTACTAAACACCGAGTTTATATTGTTTAAAGATAAATGATGATTCTATTCGTGTTGGTATGTTAGATTATTTGCAATATTTATTGTTTTTTTTGTTTAATGATTATTGTTCTGTTCCTAAAGCAATAAAAGCTGATATTTGAAGTGTATTTTTTAATATATTCGAATAATATTCGAACAGCACTGAAAAAATATTCGAATATTCGAAAATCAAAACTATCGAATATTTGCAACCTCTAGTTCCTACATGTGTTTTATAATTTTGTTGCCAGGTCTGAAAATACACCGCTACGAGAGAACATATGAACAGAACGATGAGTTGGGACTCAACGACATGAAGACCGAAGGATATTAACAGAAAACCTAGTGTACAATGTACACACACTACCAAGAGACTGTAGACAATTTCTATTTTTAACCGACTTCAAAAAGGAGGAGGTTCTCAATTCGAGTGATCATCAGATTGTGAACCAATTTTAATTATTTTTTTTACTAAATAGGTTATACTTCAAGAGTGGTCCTATATATATTTGGAGAATGAATTCCACCATAAAAGGGTAGCAAATAAATAAATTATTTTTTAGGAATTTGAAATGTGTTAAAAGTTATAATTATTCAAAAGTGTAGATATTCATCTTTCTTTTTAATTACATTATAAATGAATAAAACAAACTAAGGATATTACTAAAAGATGAAGAATTAAAATATAACAGGTCAAGTGCGAGTCGGACTCGCGCATTAACGGTTCCGTACTAACGTAAAACACGTTTCTAGTATATTTAATTTATTTTTATTTTTATTGTGTGTGAAAATTTCAACTGTCTACCTATTACGGATCGTAAGCCAGATCGTAAACCCACTGACAGACAGACAGACGGACAGCGGAGGTTTAGTTAATAGGGTCCCGTTGGTGACTTTGGGTACGGAACCCTAAAAAGTAAAAAATATGTAAAAAATTAATGAACACAGCGCTGAGGCATTGTGTTGTATTAAAAACAAACACTAGAAACCGAAAAACTGAATTAAATCGCAACTTTTCTACGATGATATCACTGTGTGACCTCAGTCCCAACTAGCGACATCTAGTGAGCGGAAGATTGTAAGTCCTAACTGAAATGTATGCAGCGCTCCTGCGTTCTTTTTTTTTGTTTTTGTTTAATTATTTTTGTGTTACTACAGGCCAACTGGCTTTTACAAAATCTTTATAGTTTTTCCAAAGCAATATGGGCAACGCGACAAACTTACTCGTCTGGGAGTTGAGATCTGCAGTCAACAGCAGTAGTAGAACTTAAGGAGACTCAAAATATTTTTTTTAATAAAAACTGTTATATTTTGGAAATTGTATTTTTATTTAATTCATCCCTCCTATTTCAACTATCAGAAAAGCATATTATATAATATTATGGTTGTATTATGAATGGGTCGACTCGACTGGGTAAGAACCACGCTCTCACAGAGTACCGGCGTGAGATGGCAGTTTTACGCTATTCTTTCGTATTGTGAGTGCAGATAACCGGAGACCCTTTTTTTTTACTGGAAACGAGGCATTCCATCTTAGTTCTCAGGGGGACAACGCATCTGCATTTTGATTCTCAACTAAGGATAAATGTAGATTTCTATGGGCCAAAATGTGGGCAAAAATTAAAATAAAGCATCGGCTTACCGTCAGGAGGACCTGTACGCTCGTTTGTCACCTTTATTCTATAAAGAAAAAAAAATTGTCGGCAGGTTCGCACCCACTTTATTGTAGATAGTTTACGCATTCGAACCAAACGATTTGTTTTATCTTTTGTAATGCGTCCAGTGAAGGACTGCAATAATTCTTTCCGTCCGTATACATTTATGGTGTCTTCGAGGCAAGAGCGAGGCTTGTGTTACGACAAGACGGTACAATTTACCATCTTGAGCTTCATCACCTCTAACCAACAGGTGATTTATCACGTGCTCGCTGGTGAAAGAAAACATCATGAAGAAATATATCTGAAAAAAGTAATATTCAAAAGATATATGACGTCCGCCACCACGCAGTAGGATAGCATGATGGACACGAACTCATAAATTAATGGAGATTTATGCCCAGTTGTGTGATGTATGTAGTCCTTTTGTAGGTGGCTAGTAGGACTTCTTTTCTGCTTAGACATTTGTCGGGATAAGTTAAAAACTATCGGTAGATCCAATTATGCATGCCTTGAGCGCATTAAAAAAATTACGTATAACATGATTATATCTAAAAATTTTAAAGTAGTTTAAATACACACAAGTTTTCAACCTTATTACTATACTTCCAATTTTCCGGTATTTTTATGTCAAATTTCAATTTAAAAAAAAAACTTGGAAAATCCAAAAGTGCACGACTCATAATGCTCATATGATAGTGAAAAATTAAAAAAAAAATTTAGTTCTATTCGTCAAAGAGTTCCAGTAGCAGTCGCCGAAGTACACCTTCAAGTCCGGAGGTAAGATCTATTCATAACTAACAAAACGAGCCCAAACTTGGCACAGCTAGTTCAACTCTTCGAGGAGTTCCAATAGCATCCATCGAAGTACACTTTGAGGTCACTCAATCAAGTCCAGAAGCAGAGAGATTAAATGTCGACTGCGCCCTAGGCTAGCCTAGCAGCTCATCGGCAGCTCTCTAGGCCATATTATATCTATTATTAATTAAATTTACTCATATTATATCTCTTTGCGTATTTTATCGCATCTACCACGGGGAGTGATCTGAGAAATTGTCTGGAATTATCCAGCCGCTCAATTTCACCATCGCACATCGTGACGAAACTCGCGATACCATCCATACCATCTGGATGATTGGCGATCAACCACTGTGTGATTTAGAAGAAGTTTTCTTCCTCGCACAACTTCCGTGTGGAGTCGATTACCACTAGCGATTTTTCCGGACCGATACGACTTAGGGACTTTCAAGAAAAGAGCCTACTCCTTTTTAAAAGGCCTGCAACGCATCTGGAATTCCCCTGATGTTGCAGTTGTTCATGGGCGGCGGTAGTCACTTACCATCAGGTGAGCCGCATGTTTGAATAAATTTTGCAAATAAACTATTTTACAATTTATAATATAGTTTAAAACAATTGCAAAATAATTAGAATACGAGTACCATTAACAGGCGGGAATAAATGAAAAATGTGATGAGAGTAAGAGCGATTTAGGAGTAATGAAATATAACGATTTTTTTTTCCTTTAAAAACTTCTGCGCACGCTTTTTAAACCATGCGCCTTTACGCTCGTGCCTAGTTTGCCTTAAGAATAATCCGCCACTGTCCGGAGGTAAGGTCTCATGATAACTAACAAAATTAGCTCAAACTCCGCACACCTATTACTATTACTACTCTTCGAGAAGTTCCAGTAGCATTCACCAAAGTACACCTTCAAGTCAATCCGTCAAGTCCGGGGGTAAGGTCTCATCATAACTAACATAGCGAGCACAATCTTGGCACACCTAGTTCTACTCGTCGAGAAGTTCCAGTAGCAGATATCGAAGTACACCTCTTTAGGTCTCCATAAAGTCCAAGACGTTATATATGTTTATATATAAATCCTGCGTACTTTTAGCGAAACAAAATATTGTAATAAAAATCTGTGAATATAATAATAATATCTTACCTTTGTCAAGTATGTGTATCTAATTTGATTTTTGGAATATTTTGTATTTCTACAGCGATCGATATTTTTCAGCACGAACCGCTGTAAACAAACGACCACTCACGACTGCGGCTGAGCCCGAAGTCCGAAGTAAAAAAGTACTCAGTGGCCAGGAGTCCGGAGTAAGGCAAAATGTATTTAGTAAAATAAATTAATACAAGTCTGCTCAAAACACCGAAAATTTCGGGATTTCTCCGCCGAAAATAACTAATTATAACTAAACAAAACAAATTAAACTGCCATTTACATTCCATGACTTCCCACATGATAGATGAAGAGTTTAAAAAATAGATTGAGTTGAACAATAGATATTTTCAAAAGTTAACTTGTTTACGCCTCCATGCGTACTTGATAAATTTACACCTTATGCCACTAAAACCGATTTTTGTGTAAATTTAGCAACTGATCGATTAAAAAAAATAAGTTCAACAATCATTTATCTTTCTGACAATGTACTTTTTATATCATTTATATGTTCAATATGATTGTTAGATACGATTCCATACGACAAAACGTTGGAATCTTGATTTTTAGGCGCTAGTAGAACATACCCACTCGCTTTGCGCTTAAGGCATGCAATAGTCAAGCAGCTGTTCGTGTACTTCTGTGTTTTAGTCTGAAGGGTATAGAGAGATTTAATTATTTACCCTTTAAAAGCAAGATTTAATTACTCGTATTAAGACTGACGTGACGTGTAAGTTACATTTAGCTGAGTCATGATTACAGTTTAGACTATTTGTAAATATATTCCTACTCGGCCATTACATTGCTACTAAAACTTCGACAAAACTTCGTAAATATTAGTGTTTCTGGTAAAAGATTTTTTATATTTTTCTGATAATATCTATTTTACTCTAAGATTTCGTATGAATCAAGCACTGTTATTACATGGCTAAAACACATGTAGTCTGATTATCGATAATAAATTAGCAAAATAAAAAAAATCGATGACAATGACACTGACAGATTATCATCGATTTTGTTATTTGTTATGTTTTTTGCGTAAGGTTTTTTACGTACATTTATTATTTTGATTTTACAGCTTATTTTAAAATTTAAAAAATACAAATATATTATAGAGTTTAAAACTACTACTTTCTACGTATTTTTGATAATTCAACAAAATCACTGTTTTGGCGTCTTCCAGAAATTTATTTGTACAATGCAACCTGAAACTGACGAAAACAAAAAGCTTTTGCCACACCACAAACAGGAGCCGCTCTGCACCAGTCGCTTGCCCTACCGACAAGGCAGAAAACTTACAGCTGTTAAAGTAAATACGATAACTTTTATTAATTTAACTGAGGAATGTTACCGTGTAGTGGCGGTGTATGTGGAAGAGGATTACCCTACTTATTGCGACAAGTTGTCTCAGACAATAGGACCTACATCCTTCAAAGGTTGTCTAGTAAAAAGCATATTAATTACAGCCTATCAAAAGTCCAATACTGAACTTAAATTGTCTCATAAGCGGTATTTGGAATAGGTGCAGTGCTTGACAGGCGGTTTGCACTTTTTTATAGTTTTAAGTTGTTATCAAAGTGATATTGTTCTACCAAGAGTTGAGATTGAAGAAGCCACAGATCAGCATAGCAACCTCTTTGAAGATGCTCACAACTTCAAAGGGCTGTTGAACTTCTTTGGGGAGATTTCATGGCTCGAATAATCACAATTTTCCTGCCCACATGCAAAATACGTGCTTAGATGTGGAATTGTGGAAAATAGCTCATTGTAAACTAAACTACTGTTGTACCAATTTTTTTTTGATAGGATAGGGTGATAAACGAGCACACAGTCCGCCTGATGGTAAGTGGTTACTGTGACCCATAGACATCTACATCTATCCTCAATAAAGACTCAAAATGCAGATGCATTGTCACCCGTGAGGAATAAGATGGAATGCCTCTTTTCCAGTAAAAAGGGTCTCCGGTTCTCTACACTCATCATATGAAACACAGCAGTGTTAAGCTGCTATTTTACGCTGGTATTCTGTGAGAGCATGGTCCTTCCCCGGTCCAGCCGACCCATTCGTGCTACAACTATACTACTAATATAGCTGTAGTATGGCTCTACTGCATCTAAAATGTCCCATCTTTGGTTTTATTTCCCTATATCATCTCTTACAACACTCACAGGATAATATGTAGAAATGGGTTCTCTTAAGTCACCCCTACACAGCATTGCTACTTAAGTTTTCAAAATTAGATAAAAACAAAAATTATAAAAATGGTTACGACGAAATAGACGGCTCCATGGCGCAAATGCTTACTTATGAGTTAGAGCACTAGGGTCTGCGGGTTCAAACCCCGCTCGGAACAAGTATTTGTATGGCCTACTAATAATTGTTCCAGGTCTGGATGTTTGTCTTTGTGCAATTTATGTTTGTAAACTGCCTCCACGATACAGGAGAAAATCCTAGTGTGTAGGTAACATTTTTTTCAAATAAAAAAAGAAATTCACTTACTTAGGTATCATAGTGGCTGAGCATTTTATTTGAGCAATATTATAATGCATGTGTGTTGTAGGTAGATGAATGTGTGAGGTCTTTCATAAGGTAAAATGTAATTTAAATTACGGTAGCAAATAAACTACCATATATGACATCATTGACACCGTATCATTGACACGTTGATTCTGTGATCAGTCCCTATTAGAAAAGTGAACCTTATTATCAAAACACATTTGCTTAAGCACTGCGGGGCGACAGATTCTAATAAGGCATTATTCCACTCCGTGTTTGTATGGTCTAGAAATAATATTTGAAGATCTGAATGTTTCAATCTGTATTTATATATGTAAAGCACTTCAATTATAGAAGAGAAAACACCACTGTAAGGGTAAGGATTTTATAAATTAATAAAATAAAAATTGTTTTGGTTTTCAGGTGTATACCATAGCTTTGGAATCCAACCATCTCCTCATCTTTGGTGTTCCTGCTCTCAATCTCCGTCAAGAAACCAAAGCCCTATTTATGAAGTTTGGCAAATTATTACAGTTTAATATATCACCGCAACACCCATCAGAGATTTTCACGGAGACATACCACGCACAATACGAAAGAATACAATCCGCCAGAATAGCAAAGCGAATGTTGGACACAAAAAACTTCTACGGCGGTTCATTACACGTCTGCTACGCTCCAGAGATGGAAACAGTCGAGGAGACCAGACAGAAATTATTGCAGCGACAAAAAGACGTGCTATACAGGCTCAGAAATTTGCAGATGGCAGAGACTAAACCCAAAGAAACAATTGATATAGAAGTGCCAAAAGCAAAAGTTCCCAAGCTTAATATGGGTGAAATAAATACAATCAGTTTAGGTGAACAGGTAAAAGTTTCTAGGAGCAAGAGAAAAAAAGATGTAGTAGATTCAAACAAGACATTTAAACCGTGTTTTATAAATGATTCCCTTAATTTTGTCAGTACAGATAATATACAACATAATAATCTCTGTGATACAAAAGAAAAAGACATAGACAATGGATTACATAATAGAGTAAATGACAAAAACATAATAATAGAAAAAGGACCAGTCTACAACAGTGAAGTGAAAGTCAAGCTTAAAAAAACTGAGGAATCACCAGTAGAAGTGATAGACTGTACATCCATTGATAAAGAGGTTGTAACTAATATTAATGAACATTTAAACTATGATAAGTTTGGTAACGAAGACGTCAGGAAAGTTCCAAAAAAACCTGTTAATAGAATTGTATTCAATGTTAATAAAACTAGTTGATAACAATATTTTGTTTTCTTGGACACTCCTCACTCAAAGTGTGTAATATAATTGTAGGTTGTTACGGGTGGCAAGACCCACCAAGATGTAATCCACAGAATATTCTGATTGTAGTCCACAGGCGTGTGCTGAGTGGACAAATGGAAACTGCCAAGCTCCTGTGTGGGCTCTCATGCATTAGTTTTTAAGCATAGAATATTAAGTTAGTCTTAAGAGAGTTCTTGTAGAGATTAAACATCTTTTAATTAATAAAATTAGTATTTTTAAAACATCCTCCGGCCACTGTATAACTTAACTAGTTACTATTGGTTTTGGGGTTAATCAAGGTGATTTCCTACAATTAATGCGAATATTTAATTATAACGGCCCTCTGTTGAATAAAAGCCAGTCTCATAGATTGTCTCCTAGGGTGTAGGGGTATTTGCCATAGTTGCCATGCTTGGCAAGCGGTATGGCAACCACATTTTTTTTCATTCTTATTTAGTTGTTGTTAGGAGGATGCTACATATATCCGGTTTCTATTTCCTTAGTGGATTAACATTGAGATATATTATTTTCACTAATTTTATGGTGTCAACATGTATCTTGTTTTATCAGAGGCAGCTGAACTGGGTAAGTGGCGCAAATATGAGTCTCTGAGAGATGACTACATATTTTTGCCATTTGTTGTAGAGACTATCGGTCCGTGGGGTCCACGTGCAGTGAAGTTCCTAAAGGAACTCCATCCGCGGCTGGTCGTTGCTCCTGGTGATAAGAGGGCTGGTTCTTTCCTCGCTCAAAGGCTAAGTATAGCCATTCAGCGGGGAAACGCAGCCAGCGTTCTTGGCACGATACCGCGGGGAGTAGGACTATATGATAATTAAGTTTCTAGTTTGTTTTTTTTTTATCATCATAGTTTTTAATATTGTAGATAAAATTAAGTATTATGTAAAATAAAAAAATTTAATTGTGCTAATATTAAAGTGCACTCCGTTTTTCAACCGACTTCAAAAAAAGGAGAAGGTTCTCAATTCGACTATTTTTTTTTGTGTTACCTCAGAACTTTTTTTAGGTGAACCGATTTTAATAATCCTTTTTAATTTGAAGTCTGGTGCTTCTCATATAAATATGATCAAGATCTGATCAGTAGTTTTTGAGTTATCCTTGATAATGCGTATTTGATTGACTTCGACTACATTGAATAATGTTTTCATTTTATTTATATTGAAGTCTGTTGTACAAAATTTTTAATTTTACCACTTGTTCTTTCACTTGAGGTGCCCATTAATAATAATAATAATAATAATAATTTATTTTCTCACGACAATACAGAATTATTGAACATTGACTGTTTAATTTCAGACTAAATAAAATCATTATCATTACAGCCCCTCACACGGTCCGAAGTTCATTGTTAAACATAAGCATCCATCAAGGATGCTACAAAGCAATGCCCTCACAGAGTACTTTTTATATACTGAATGCCCTGAGCTATCAGAATTCATCAACTTTATGCATGTTACATCTAATAAGGGCTAATAATTTTCTGCTCACCGGATGTCCCTAGTTGACACTGAGGTAAAGTTTTTTGTTACACAATGTCATTTAATTGAGAAGTTAGTTTTAAACAAAGAAATTTAAGTAGTAGACCGGACATCAGCAGCAAAATTGTCGTCTGTAACTTATGTCATATAGGATATATCTCACATGGGCATGCAACTTGAACATTATTTTACGAACAAAATGATACTTTTTATGTGCTTCCATCTACATTCCGAAGCGCTAGGCTAGACTTATTTTAATCTCACTAGAGGGCACACATATATTAAGTCTATGCATACGCAAAGATCCATGCACACTACGCAGTTAGTGCGGTCACTGGTAGTTACGCTTAAATTGTTATTAATATTTATTGAACATTATTTATTTTTAGAAAATGCCGTTTTATCTGTGTTTTCAGGCAATGAAAAACTGCTAAAATATCATTAGAATATAAAGGTAAATTTCGCTACTACGTACAAGGTTATAACTGTTCAGATGGGTAACCGGGCGGTCTCGAAACCATAAGACCCCGGTTCGATTCCATCAGATGTGTTTATTTTTCAAGTTCCTTCTTTTGTAAGAATTAAGCGCCATCTGTTCGGCAAAGCACGACACTAACGAAAATTAAATCTGAGTCGCGCATCTATCTCTAGTATATATACAGTAATCTATGATATCTCCGATTTGTCGTTTAGTCTTAGTGACATCGTCAAAAAGTTAAGACGCATTCCTTTCATGTATTTAAAAAAATATTTTTAAAGAAAATATACCCGGTTGTGCATTAAGATATTGTAAGTCACGATATGGAGCAAAAAATGAACGTGATTTCGGTTTATTAATGTAAATATAACATATATTTACCGAATAATATTTAAATTTTATTATTTCTAGTAGATTTTGTTTTTAAAAAAAGTTACCCCTACACTAGGATTTTCTCCTGTATCGTGGATTATTCTAGAACACTTATTTTTATTGTAATAAGCGCCATCTGTTATCCAGTAAACGTCACTATTTAATTACCAATGTTAAAGTTAGTGATTGACGACGTTTATCGATTGGGATTATCGATAAAAAAATATACAGGATGCCAATTTAATCCTTAACAATATTTAAGGAGGTAAAACAGTCAACGACGGTGGCACTGCGGCGGCGGCCGCGTCTTCTGTGGCGGCCTCCGGCGCGCACCAATTGCGGCGCTCACGCGCCCACTACTCGCGGTATACGGCTTATTGGAGATATGCTCGCACATGATTACGAGACTGACTTATTTGCTGATAGCTTTATGCAACTATGTAATAAAGCCCTTTTATTTTTGTCATCCAATTTTGACATATTGTAATATATTAATCTTAGGTTAGTTAATTTGATAATGATATTTAGCTTACTCTATTTGACATGTAATCTATTTGGCATGTATTTTTTATTTTATTTATACATGTAGGGTAAGCTATACTATTGTTGGCACCCCTATAGTCATTGTCACTTTGGTTTTTAAATACAAATATTAAGATCTATTATAACAAAAAACATTTATAAATATTACATTTATCAATTTCTGTTATTCTAAAATTATTCAAATTTAATGGTAGTTTTTATAACATGGTACCTGGCAACTTTTGAGAATATAATTTTTAGCGGCAAAATACAAACCTGTTAGTCACATTAACTTTTTAACACGTTAAATGCCAATCACGCGACGTCGCGTGTTCCCAGTACTCTTCAATTTGGCCCTTCACGCGACGTCGCGTGAAGTGTCCGACGAGTTTTGTATGATTGTTTTGTATGGCGCCTGGGCCGGAGCGTTATCGCAACGGTGTTTTTTATGGGCCTCTAGAGTAAGGACTGAGCTATCGTAAAGTGGACGTGGCCATCCGAATCATGCGATAGTTTTAGTGCTACGTAATTGGTTATTTCACTTAGCGTCGCCGCTCGAGCCGGACGGCTTTCTTGTTTGTTTTTAGTTAGTTGTGAACAAATAATACGTATTTTTTTATAGTATAAAGTGATAATAATTATAATAAAACAAAATTTATAATAAGTGATCATCAACCTGGTACCATGGTGTACGAAACGATCAAACGAGATACCTTTGCGAGCGCAATCAAAACGTGTTTTGTTGCACGAATCGGATATTCTTGAAGCTTTAGGAAACTCTGATGAGGATGATTTTGTGGGAAGTGATGAAGACGAAGACTTTTTATTGGGTGATGATGATGGAGACAGCTCAACCCTGGAGTCGGAAGAAGATGAAGAAGGAGTTCTATCACCGCTACCACCTAGTGAAATTCGATTTTCATCTGCAGAAAGGGAGGAGTTGAATGAAACGATTGAAGAGTCAGCTATGCCACATGAGTCTCCTGAACCTGCCACCGAAGGATCAATCTCACACTGGAGTACTTCTTGCTTGTCTATGAAACAAATACTATTCGTTCGAGAGTCAAAGCTGCATGTAGAACCGCCATCACATCCAATAGATTATTTTTGTTTATTTTTCAATGAAGAATATTTGAGAATGATCGTGGAGTGCACAAACAGATACGCCGAACGTATGAAAAGCTCCAGTGAACATCGTCATTCACGTATTTCAAGATGGAAAGAGTTGACCGTTGAAGAGTTCAAAACATTTCTGGGTCTTCTATTACATACTGGCACTGCAAAAATGAACCGATTGACAGATTATTGGAAGGGTCACTGGTTATATAAATCATGCTTTTCGAAATATATGTCAAGAAACAGATTTTTTATTATTTTACGTTGTATACATTTTACTCTCCCTGATGAAGAAGAAGACGCCACTGCTAGGCGTCTAAATAAATGTCAAAAAATAGTCGACAATTTCAATAATACAATGAATAATATATATTATCCAGGCCAGAACATATCTTTAGACGAGTCGATGGATTTATGGCGTGGCCGCCTATTTTTCCGACAATAAATCAAAGGAAAACGCCACAAGTATGGTATCAAACTATAATTTCTCGCAGAACCGGGTGGCTTGATTTTAAATTTCCACGTGTTTGCCAGTCTTTCCTAAAGTTACTGTTCATTATAATTGTAGACTTCGGTGTCTAAAATATTTAGAAGTTTTTTTATGTTGCATGTTTCTTTGATATTTTGTTATTTTTTGTGTTATATAATTCAAATAAAAATTATTGATACTAAAAATATTTAATTTTATACATTTGAACTCATAATTGCACAAAAGTGCTAAGGTATCCCAAAACTCGACGTCGCGTGATGGGACCCCTAAGGATAAATGTACACTCCACATGGCCCATCACGCGACGTCGAGTGATATATAACTATATTATATAAAATATTATATATATATACTAAAACCATAAACACACCCGCAAATAGTATTTGCTGTACTTAAGAGTTATTTCATAAAAAAAAATTTTGGGCCACCAGCAGAAAACTTCAATTTTAGCTTTGGCAATGAACGTGTTAATAAGATCCAACAAGTACAAGGTAAGTTTATACATTTCTTATTTAAGGTTTTTAATGAGTTTAGTATATATGATGTGTTTATATAATTATTTTAGAGCTATATTACCGTTACGAGTATTTTTTTAAACATATTTGCCATTTTAATCTAACATTGGGGGCCATAGACTTAGAATATACTGGCGTATAGACCGACATAGTGTGCAAAGGAGAAGAAAATTCCTTATGGCAAAAATGCAAGACAGAAAAGGATACCAAATATCATGACTCTGTAACCGATTTTGAATGATAGGTCGGCGCGATTCGGCAAGCAATTTTAACCGCGGCGCCCACCTAAGCTACATGATTTCGACATGGCTTGTAGCATGATTCTGACGTGACCACGGGTGACACTGCTTGCGCCAACCTGTGCAACAATAGCATATCGCAGAATTCAGTTTGAGCCAAAATGTCGTCTGAAGAAGATAAACATGCCCTTGTTATGCTACAGATTTCAAACATTCCAAGTGCCAGCAAAAGATTTCGGGTACATGCTTTGAGGAAAAAAATTGAAAAGTGGTGGTACTTTCAATGCTATGAAGGAATTAGAATTATATTTTGCATAGGCAAGTCACTATAAGTTGCAAGAAGTATCTTGCGAATTCCTGTTAATGTAATCGGGTCTAGAACAATCATATTGTATACGTGGCCTTTCATGAAAAGAAAAAAAGCTAGGTCGTCTTTCATTTTGTATAGACAAGTCACTGCAAGTTACGTGTTACGTGCCACTTCAATGCGTCACTAGTAGCAAGCTGAATGGTACGTCAGGTCATGCAGCATCATGCCACGCTAATAGACGCTACTACATACAATCTCTTTGAATGTTGAGGCGAGTGACAAGTTACGCGTCAAATCACGCGTCAGATCACGCGTTACGTTACTTAGGTGGGCGCCGCGCTTTATATGTACGCTAGGAATTGACTCAACTATATCAAAATTAATGTCGATATTTATCTTGAATGTTTATAATGAATCGATAGACTTGCCCACACAACAAGAAAATAAATCCTCGGTTTGCGTTCATTTAGAATAAAAACAATTTCATTAAAAGGAACCATTTCTACATTATTGGTACCAGTAAGTATGATATTGTTATAATCATAAAACTTCAAAAATTTTGATAAAAATAGAGAGACATTTTTGTACATTATAAAACTGTAGTACATTTAAGATAAAAAATCTTGAAATTATCCTATTTAAGCCATTATGAACGCAACCATCTATTTATCAACCAAAAAATGTATAACCTTACTTCACCATCCATACCTCACGGTCACACTAGTGCGAAATTTCATTGCATCACGCTATTTTCCCCAAGGGTTTGCGCGGAGCTTCGGAATATATTCCCAAGTCACAATGATAAAACTTTTAACGTAGTTAGATATAATATATTTAGTAATTCTCTTGAAGCGCCACTAGACGCCCTCGCATGAGTCGCGTGGTTCGATGTGCTAGAATAGTATAAATTCCATAGTATTTGATACTCACAACGCTCGATGCCCGATTCATGCTTTAAGGCTGACGACGTTGTGCAGTGAGAGATTAAATTGCACTTGCTGCGGTCAGTACATGAATGAGTGACCATTTTCATAACATACCGAGATTGAGACAATAGAGAGTGCATCTGTATCCTCAGACACCTGTTGCACTTTACTCTGTTAAGGTCATTATTTTTTTTAATTCATGCAGCTAAAATAATTTTATTATTACTTTATACTTTACGCCTCATAAACATATTGGCCTTTAAACAGAACAATCTTATTTAATTCATTCCTACAAGTATCCTTACTAAAATTAGTTCGTATTTAAGTCGAATGTTAAAATAAACTTCTATAATGTATTTCATTATTAAATGTTTGTAATTATCAAAAGTAATACTTATATGAAAAATAAAGCAGCTATTATGTACTCTGTGTCCACGTTTTTATTTCCCCATCAAAACTATTTATAAAATATAAATAGGTATATACTTAGTTAAGTAGTTAGATATCTATTTATATTAACAATATATTAAAAAAAGGAATTCAAAAGAAACTGTCTATGGCAGTTAATATTTTTCTCCAAACATAACTCTAAATTAAAACTTTTCGATCTGATTCTTGGGGAGTTTTTTTAAGTTTATCGGTAGAGTCACCGGGGCTTTTTTACATTTGAATTAAAATCCAACAAAAGGTATGTAGGCTCAGCTTATTCCTAGGAACATGTTATATGAACATTTTTTAATTATTTTAGAACTATCAAGGTAAAAATCCAGTTAATTTTTGAAGTTATTCAATTTCCTGCACTACACTATTTTTTTAATTATTTTTTTATTTGCCGCTTCCTTAACAATCATTTTTCGATAGTTCTTGTAAGTAAAATGTACATCACTAGCCAACGCACACAATGACAAATCAAAATTTGTCACGCGCTTTCGGGCTGTCAGGTCACGCCAGTGTATTTTAAGTCTATGATGGGGACCAATCACTAAATTATTGTGATTTGATTGTTTTAAGTGATTGACACTGTGCCAATCAATAAATGATATTTGTGGTACTTTTTCTTTAATATTGAGCTATTAAACTAATCAGAATAAGTAGATTAATATGAAATCATTATTTTTTTTGTAAAGTTACTTTGTTTTTAATTTTTGGCACTGCCAATCATTGTGCTAGATAGGGGCCAATCACTTCAACGTGATTTAGTGCCAATCATTGCATTTGTGTGTAAGGTGTTAATTATTGTACATTTAGTTAATGCCAATGAACAGTTCACCATCAATAAATTATTGCTTACTTTGACTTTCAGTATAAAAATGCCTAAAGTATGTGAAGGCGGTACCTATTTGGATAAATATACCGAAGAAGATATTGTTAAAGCTATTGAAGCGATAAGAAATGGAATGCCTAAGAAAACTGCGGCGAAGAAGTTCGGTGTGCCACGTCCTACCCTACAGTTTAGGCTTAGTTCCCAATTTGTTAAGCCTAGGCCAGGACCAACAACAGTCTTAACAGAAGACGAAGAGAATATTTTAGTCGAGTGGATAAACATGTAGCAAAAAAGGATTTCCCAAACGCAAGGAAGACATCCTTTTAAGTGTCGAACAGTTTTTGATTAAAAATCCAAGAACGAACTGTTTTATAAATAATAAACCTGAAGAAGGTTGGTATCGTTTGTTTCTAAAACGGCATCCAGAAATCACAAACAGTACTTCCAAAGCTATTACAGCAGCAAGTGCAAATGTCTCTGCAACCAACATAAGACAGTGGTTCAGTCAAATTGAACAATATTTAAAAGAAAATGATTTGTTTGATATTTTAAGTGATGCCTCCCGCGTCTATAATGAAGATGAAACTAGCTTTCAGGTATGTCCAAAGAACACCAAGGTATTGGCAGAAAATGGATGTAAAAACGTTTACGAGGTGGATCATACACAAGCTAAGTCTTGTTTGACTGTAATGTTTACCTTCTCTGCCACTGGTGAAACTACTTCACCCATGGTAATTTATCCGCTTAAAAGAATACGCGAAGACATGAGAGCCTCCGTACCGTCACACTGGGGTTTAGGCCTATCGGATAACGGATGGATGAATAAAATTTATTTTTTCAGTACATCCACAATATACTTTATCCATATCTATTAGAAAAACAAGTCCAGTTCCCGATAATATTATTTGTAGATGGACATAAAAGTCACATGAATTACGATTTAAGCAAGTCATGTAAAGATAAAGGTATTATTTTAATAGCTCTGTACCCCAATGCTACTCGCATACTACAGCCTGCAGACGTTTTCGCTTTTAAACCAATAAAAAATGTTTGGAAAGAAAGTGTTTTGAACTGGCGACGCAACAATTTGACGAAAACGTTGACAAAACTAGATGTTGATCCTATTTTAACTATGGCGTTAGAGAATTATGTCAATCACCCCTCTATTAAAAATGGTTTCAAAGCGTGTGGCCTCTTTTCATGTAATCCAAATTCTATAGACTTTTCTAAATGTCTGAGAAAAACTTCCAGCAGTTCGAATAACACGCAATTAAGTTCTGAACAACAAAAGCCCACAATATCATTAAAGAAATTCCAGGAAATAGTAGGACCGTCAATTTATAAGAACCTTCAATCCAATTCAGTAATTAAAAATCCTTTTCAAAATGCTCTAGTAAAAGTTTACAATTATTTAAAAGCAGGATCTGCTAATGCAGATGGGCAAGAAATTAAGCAAATTACTGAAAATTCTCTTTCAATTAATGATTTGTGGAGATCAGCGGACAACATTCCAGTCTTTACGTTTAATAATTCCGAGGATTTAAGCAACGTTGAAGATCTTGAAGCTGAAATTAGAAAATACAAATTAGTAACCGTAGCAAACCCAGTTTAAAATATTATTAAAAGCCCAGATATTCCAAGTCTTATCCAAAATGTACAAAATAGTTTGAACGACTTTGAAAATATTGAAACCGTTGAATCAAATCATGTACTAAATACCATTAAATTACCTGATTTCCCAATCTTTGTCGAAAATGTAGAAGAAAATTTGAATGAGTCTGAACTTCTTAAGTGTCATGCAACGGTATTAAATGCAGTTGAAAACATCTATAAAGATGAAGATTCCTGGCAAAATTTAGATTAACCTGCTATGACAAAACTTAGTTCATCATCTTTGCCTCTAACCACTAATGGAACAGATCTTACTCCCAAAAAAGTAAACTTGAAGTCCAGTTTAATATGGCCAAAGACGCCTGTACGGAAAGTTAGATAAATTGAAAATGAACCAGTATTTGTATTGACTGGCAAAAAATGGTTATAAATAGAAAAAAAATATACGAGAAAGAAAAAAAAGAACATGAAAAACAAGAACGTAAACGCCTCAGAGAGGAAAATAAGTCAAAAAATATAGTCAATGGGTTTAAAGAGATTGGAGTAGTAAAATTAAATACAAAATTAAAAGAAAAATGGTAAACAAAATGCTAGTATGTTCAAAATACCTACAAAATACTTATTATAGATCCTCGCTTACAGTGATAGGAGAGGGCTATAGGTTTCTTACATTAAAAACAATTTGTACTGTTAAAGATATTAGATGCAAGAAGTTTTAGGTTAAGCCTGAGTTTAGAAAATAAGGTAAAAACTTAAAATAATTTTTATTGATGTGGGTGGTGTCTTTAAGTACTGCAGATGATGAAACGTGAAAAATTGTGAAACGGCTTTTAGGTTCAGTGTTTTCCTAAAATATTTTAGATTTGAAGTATATTTTTGTAATAAAAACGAATTTAATAACATAGAGGCGCTCTTTTATTAGATTTGGCGTTTCTCGATGTGTCTTTAATGCCGACCGATCAATCATATGCTATTATTATAGCAGCTAATGGACCAAGTGACGCCATCCAAGATGCCACCAAGGTGGCAACCAAAGTGACTGTTGTTTGAATTGATTCTTAGTTATTGGAAATGAATGAATATTTTATTTCATGACTGTTACGGCCTACGGCTGCTCCCATAAAGATCGAATCCTCTGGGGCCCATTCAGCAGAGTTTCAACGAACAGACGTAGGTCGGGCCTCCTAAGGCCAAAGTGGAAAATCTCTAGTTACGCTAAACAATAAGGGGGAGCGTTCTATACTACGGCCATTCAACAGGGAGAATATTAGACGGAGCTTACTTACCTATATCCAAGGCGACTGCTCCCTCAGGATTCGGTCAGGTCGCATGTGGTTGTGTGGTGCAAGAGAAATAAGGTGCTGTGATGTGTATCTGGGAGTGACTGATGGTGATTGACCTTAGTAGACCTTTGCCGTCGGCAGCAGCCCGGGCGTCAGCACCGCTCCAAATTGAGGTAATCTTCCGCGGCGCCGTCCACAGTCATTTTCTTCGTTCGTCACGATGACAGTCCATTAACTCTATCGTACTATTAACTAATTTACAGAAGCCACTAACTCTCGTTTGTTATAAAGCTTAACACACAAAACGAACAGGGAGTGTCCGGATCAAAGGTCACTACCGCTTCGCGTAGCAACAGTTATTTCTAGAATATCAAAGGCCGCTTTAGCTAATATTGTCGAATGCACTTATACAGATTCTGAGTCCGACACAATGAGTCCCTGGGAAGCTCTACAGCAAGGAATGCGCGTCACAAATCCTAGACAGTATATTTACTAGCCGCGCCTAATTATTCCGAGTTCCCGAACAAAAATTGACACCGTGCTGGCGTTTGCACAGCTGGCAGACGACTGGTTTGCACCTTTACGCGTTCTCAACACCCACCGTTCGACCGACGTCAAAACCGGTATGGCACCGAGCCGCGCGCCCTCTGACGTCGATTCCGAAACCAGCGTTTGGCGCGAACAAACCCACGTCCCGGACATAAGGATTTAGGTCCGCGAGCAAACCGGTCAGCGGGACAAGGTCGCGACGGCAAGTTGCAAGACCGAATCTACAACCAAACTAGGCCACCTTAGGCACCCTATCAGATCTTGCAACCCTAACCAACGCCTAAAAATTACAGCCCCAACGTGGGCAAGCCGGAGGGTTGAACTGGATGCCCTTCCTGGACATCGCAGCCCATAAATAAGTTCTATTCCTAGACAGAAGTCCGACGACCTCCTTCAAACACCTATCTGTGCTCCTATGATTAGTTTCGCAATCCGACCGGATCAGGTCTGCAAACAGCGACGCGACACCAAGCGGCCCAGAGTGACCTCCTAAGCTTCAGTGCAGAGAGCACCCCCAAATTCCCCATGAACGTCGTCTGTGGAGAGCCGAACGAACGCACAGATAATCCCTAGTATGAACTTTCAAACAAGTAGGCATAGCCAGGCCATCCACCATATAATCATTTACCAACTGGTGTGACAGCTGATTTCCATCTGATAATCTACAACTAGCCAGCCTGTTAGGCAAGTAGTCCTATGCTCATATTTCAACTAATTTTTCAAAGCATCAATGTTCAACTACAGAATCAATTCAACCAAATTAATCACCGATGCACATAGGTCAACTTGACAAATTAAACAAAACAATAAACGCAAGAGACAGCCCTATTTCTCATTTAAGTAACTCAGACAGTGCCAACAAAATGTAAACCAAAGGAGAATTGACTTTTATTTATTTCGGCACAAATAGGGTTATCTAATTTCAGCCTTCCTTTTCACAAAGCAAAATGATTAAACACTATCACAAACATATACATAATTTTCCAAATAGCGCAAACCTTTCTTTTTTCCTTTCAGCAAACAGACGCAACAATCAAATACAGCGATTAAATATATTTACAAAACATATGCAGCAGCATTTAAAGGAGTAGATTAAATTAATTCTTTTAATCACAACCGCTACAAATAGGAAAATTTTGCGGAAAGCCCAAAAGCATTTTTTAATTTTAATTCAAACAATTTTTAACTAAGTGCTCGACCAAACCAAATCTAATACCCCTTGACAGCGTGATTCAATGCTCCAGGGGAGCTCTAATCTTCCCACCACCAAGGGAAGGCCACACGGCGTGAACCCGAACAATAGAGCGCGAACCGCTAACAGTCGCCACTCGGGTTGTACGCCTTCACTGAAGCCGTCGGCAACAGAACATTTTGACAAGTGGACTGTTGACGGCTTAAGACTCAGTGGAGGCGGCCGTGGTGGGAGCTAAGGCGGCAGCCAGCCAGGGCAGCCTCCATCAAATGGGGAACAGTGGTACACCAGTCGCGGCCACTCAGCTAACGGGAGTGAGAAGGGTCCAGTGGACCGATGAGTGGCCGTGAAGTTCCTCTCCACACGCTGAGGGGGGGTGATGACACCCCCGCCCCTGGGGGAATTACCCCCCGACTGGTCGGGTAGGGACCCCTTTCAAACTTAGGGGCCTGGTGGCTGGCCGGTGGGCGCCGAGAGTCGCCCGGCAGAGGGCGTGGCTGAGCGCCCCCGCCCGTGGGGGTCGAGGGCCTGGCAGAGCCCCGAGAGGAGACGCCGTTCACACCCAGGCACAAAACTGCATGGTGATTGCCCTGGCAATGCAGACAGGGCCGCCGATGCGGACAGTCCCGCTGGAGGTGCCCTTCCAAACAT